TCTTCCGATCTCCCCAAAACCCCAAAACCCCAAAACCCCTTTTGCTTAATTTCAAAATTATTGTAAGGAAGATATTATTTCTTAGGGCCAATTATAAAATTAATGTTTATTAATAAGACAAGACATTTACTATGATAAATTCAATAAAAGCTAAACTATCTTCCAAGTTTACTCAATAGACAATAAAATGATCAGATCAATACTTAATTAAGCCAAACTCTTTAATGACTTGCTTGATAAGTCTATGACATTAAGGCCCAGAATCAAAGAAATATTCTTAATTCTTAGATTCTTCTTCTTCATCCAGTAGCCAACCATAAACTGGTCTAGTATACAGCGGTTTATGGCTTTCAATTATTTTTTCTAGTCCTTTGATCTCATCAAATATATTTGCAGAGAAGTTAGCATCATTATCGTTTTGTATCTCTTAAAACTACAGGCCTATTATGCTAAGATCTTTCCTCTCTTCAAGCTCTTATATATCAATTACTGGCTGCTGTTCAGTATTCTAACTCTAGTCAGGATTATTTCTTTGTATGATATTTTTATCTTGCAATTAGATTTGAAGAAATACCTCTTTGCTAATTAAGCGGGTGTGTATGCTCAGATAAACATTAGGGTTATGTGGGGAATAATGAGTAAGATCAAGCTAAAATCTATCTGGTTCGTATAGATTGAATCTCTCATATTACTCTATGTTATACAGTCCCATTGAACAAAGACTAGACAAAAAATACTCTATATTACGAATCTAATCATTGTATATCTGCCTAGCTTAAGAGAGTCTCTCATTGCTTGCCCTCTTTTTAGATACTTTATCCTTTTCTTTCTCTTGAATTTAACTCTTAATATCTAGAAGCATTTCATCATACTCTTAATTGATCTTCACATGAAATTCAATATTCTTATTGAGATAGCTCATCTTAGACTCTTGTGACTTGATCTAGCTCACTAATTCAAGTATTTTAAGTCTCTAGTTTTGCTTTTTAGCTTCAGGTGAAAGTTCGCTTACTTGAATTTCTAAAGCTTTACTTTCCTCATTCACAGATAATAGTATAGATGATCTTGCGGACTATCTTAGTGGAATCAAATCATCTTCATCACTAGACTAATATTCAACTTCTTTTTATTCCTCAACATAAACTTAGTCATCATTACTTCCAAAACTATAATTGTCATTTTCAAATGAAGAGTTTTATTGAAGATAGTCCTGAAATTCTTCATCTGATTCCTAATAGCCATCATCAACATACTTGCTTTTAGACTCACCTTAGAACAGCCCTATCCCATAAAATGACTACAAAAGTTTGCTTGCAACTGACTAGACAGGCTATCTTGGCTACTTCTTACTCTTTCTAATTACTTCAGCTTGATCTGTTTTAGCCAGATCATTCAAGGTTCTCTTCTACTTTGATACAAAACCTTGCTTCATTTTTGGATTACAATAGTAAATTTAGCTATCTTTGCTATCTTTACCATCTTCATTAGCTTAAGTTCTATTGTATTTCGTGTTAAGATTCTTGATCTAATTTAATGCTGTGAAGCTCGATTGCTTAGAGGGTATTTCAATTGTTTTTTAGTAATTTTTGTTGAAAATGCTCATCAAATCATGATGTTCTTTGGCAGATTAAGCAGCATATTCATCAAAGCAAATTTCAATTTGTTGAGCTTATTTTTAATCCTCAAATTGACTCATTTAATATTTTATTTAAATTCAAATTTAAGCTGCCATAAATATAAGCCTCAAGGCCTTGCGGGGTTTTGGGGTTTTGGGG